AACGGGGAACGTTTGCAATTTCCCTTGGAGTACTAGCAAATGATGAATCATCTGGTTTAATGATTTGAGCTGCGAGCTAAAAAGTGCTTGTATGCCTTTGGAAAAGTAATAACTTATTGTTTCTGATGAATGCTGAAATCTCTCAATAGCATCTCTAATAAATTCATTCTGTGACAGAATGTATATTGTTATAGCCAACACCTCCCTTCTTGTCGTTCTAAAAGAACCTTGGAGGTCGTGATTCAGATATAACCCGTTCAGGAGATCCATAAAAATAGGTACACTCATTCAAAATATGCTCGCGAGAAGAAAGGAGAGGGATATTGGGTATACCTTGCGTCTATCTCAGTCGAAGCAAAGAGCAGAGGAGGATCGACGAGCCGAGGGAGATTGGTGAGCTGAGAGAGAGGCGAGGTGCGATTCTCCCGGGCGTCGATCTCCTGGAAAGGGCGAGCAGAGATCTATTCTCTTGGAAAGGGCGAGCCAAGGGAGATCTGCGAGGCGAGGCGAGGCGAAGGAGCAGAGGAGAATTGTGATTCTCCAAGTGCGACGGGGTGCAAGGCGAGGCGAAGGGGCAGAGGAGATCTGCGATTCTCTAAGGGCAAGGGAGAGCGAGAAAGGGGCACCACAAGAATTCTTCCCTAATAGCAAAATTCATAGGCGGGACGCGGGGTAGTCTGGCTTGTGAAGCGATGAAGGAAATCACGATAATAAAACGCCGCGACACCAAAAGTTTACATCGATCGCTATATTCAAAAGGGAAGGCGACGTTTTCACAACGCCGCTGCACCCTATAAGCTGCCCCAAACAGGCATTTAATACTCTTTCAAGGCATAGCTACTTCAACTACCATGAAGATGAATCCTAATATCTGTTAAGTCATTTTTACACCCATTAAAGTCAGTGTCAGATAGCCAGTTTAACCAAAAATTATCTAATTTAATATAAACAAGCATGTAATCCTTGCCCTATTCAAATACCTCTCTCCTTTTTTGCAACATCCTGGTGATCATGCCTTGGATTAGGCTGATATTTGCTTGATGTTTCAACAACAAATGCAATATTTGGTATTGTATAAACTTGAGTGTAGACCAAACTACAAGTTTTCTAGCATAATACACATATTTTATGGACTCCTCTATTTCTTTTATGGGATACTAATTTGAGCTAAACTAGTCAACCTTTTTGATAGATGCTTCTATGGTTTGTACTCATGCATATTAAACTTATTAAGAACACACTCAATGCGTGTTTTTTGAGAAACTCGAGAACCATTTTGGTGAATTTGTATATCCTAGATAAAAGAAGCATTTCTTAAATCCTCCATATCAAAAGTTGGATATAAAAAAAACTTTAAATTGGTTGTATGAAAAGTAGAGTTTTTGAAAGCTGTTGTTACTATTATTGACTTTTTCACTTCATAAAAAAATCTGGCAACCAGTTTCTTACAAGTATTACACTCTAGTAAATTTGGCTGTAAAATTTTATAAAATAGCGAGAAAGTTATAGCCATAAAGCATTTTCGAGCTCAAAAAGTGTGTTCATGTTCGGCTCGTTTGCTTAGCGAGCCGAACACGAGTTGTTCACGAACAAAGAGTCGTTTTGACAACCCTAATCAGGTAGCCATAAGATGTGAAAGATTGGGGCAATATTTAAAAATTATGGTGTATATTAAAACATCATTTGAATCGAATTTAATAATTTTAATACTATTTTCTTAATTTAATATTTATAAGTGATTATAAATCTTTATAGTCTTGTAGTCAATTCAATTTTTTAAAAATACTACTCATATATATATATATATATATATATATATATATATACATATATATATAATTTATGAGTAGTATATCGAGCCAAAACGAGCCGAACACAAACGAACAAATATTTTTTCGTGTTGTTCATTTTCGGCTCGTTAACTTAGCGAACGAGCCAAACACGAGCTTCTTAACGAGCCGAACACGAGCTGTTCGCGAACAACGAGCCTTTTTGACAGCCCTAGCATAATAGCAGTATACAAAGTGAAGTTATGAAAAAAACTGTTCTAAATGTATTCTAAAAGTCTCCTAAAATCATTATTAACATGCAAAATATGATCAACATAAAAAATCAAAAATATTAACTTGTACTTGCTAATCATGAGATATATGCACTAATAATTTTTTTTTTCTTAGAGCCAAAGGATGCAATTTTCTCTTTGAACTTGGATACCAATAATAAGGAGCTCACTTCAAACCATAAATAGATTTCTCACCTTACATAACAATTTTCTCCTTGCCATCTTCAATATATCTTTTAGGTTTATATACTTCTTCAAATATATCACAATTTAAAAAGGTGACCTTTACATCATCCCTCTAGCTCGATATCAAAATGAGACTATTGCCATAATAAACTTGAAGGATTTTTTTTTTTTTTAATTACAAGGCTCTTTGGTATATCTTTTTACAAGCAATTTTGCTTTTGAAAAATTCAATTATTTTCTTGTGGCTTTTTTTTGGTCTTGAAACATATTCACAATCATTAACCTTATAACTTTGTGTAAACATAGCAATATCACATAATTATCATGAGTAGTTTACAGTTCATCTTTCATGAAGCGTTAATCCAACTTTAGGATTGAGGACTAGAAACAGCTTCTCAGTATGTAACTAGTTCAAAAAATTTTCATTGATGAAAATCATTTTCACCATATAAACAAGTCATCTTAGATAGCCATCTGCTTTTGTCTAATTGATCTTTTTTTGTGGTGAAACATTTCTAGTTGGAATTGGGACAATAATTTCTTCTATAATTGATAAAAGAATCTCAATTGTCTTAACATGTTCTTGAAGAAATGCTTCTTTTATCTAGGATATACAAATTCACCAAAATGGTTCTCGAGTTTCTCAAAAAACACGCATTGAGTGTGTTCTTAATAAGTTTAATATGCATGAGTACAAACCATAGAAGCATCTATCAAAAAGGTTGACTAGTTTAGCTCAAATTATATATATATGTATATATATAGTTCCACATGACCTGCATCTCATTCTAAAAATTTTAACATTCGAGATTCAACAATTATAAGCCTTCGAATCTGGCAATATAACTGATATTCCTTTGAATGCTTTGGATAATAAATAAAATGGCATGTAATTAGGGTCAAAATTTCTCTCTAAATAGTCTAAAGCTTCACTTTACCAGGTCAACCTCATAGAGGAAAATGGTTAATGCTTCACTTTACCAGGTCAACCTCATAGAGGAAAATTGTTAAGTCTAGATTTTCTCCTAAACCAAAAGTTTAAAAAGAAGTTTCTCTAATACATTTAGTGGGAACTCGATTCATTAAATAAATGACTGTTTTAATGACTTTACCCATAAATCTTCATGTAAATTTGTCCGACTCATCATGCTCTTCAAAACATCCTTGAGAGTTTAATTACACCTTTCAGCTACGCTCCAGGACTACCAAGAATGCTGTATTGGGTGCGCTTGGAAGTACTTGGGATTTAGGAAATTGTCTCATGGCCTATTTAGTTATATCATGTTGCCATAATATTTACCACTATGATCAGATTTAACTATCTCGATGGATTTATCCAATTTTTTTCTCGAACGCTAATTTGAGAATCTTAAATTTAGATAATTTTTTTAACATTTAAAATTTTCATGAGGGTACGCATAACTAGAACAAAATACAGGCAATAAATTACTTAATACCATAGAATAAAGAAGAGTACGGTTCACTAATATATATATGAATCACATTAAAAATATTACGCATATAAGAACCATTCTATATGAATCAGATTTTAGATCCAGAGTTTTTTATATTTCTTTTTATGCTTTTGATTGAGGGCCTTTTTCTTTTTAGGTGCCGATTAATTGTTTTACTTGATAGAAGTTGCTCAAAATAAAATGCTTATGTAATCCAGTAGTGAAAGATGGAGATTTTGTGGAAGTTTTTCATCACCCCAAACTTAAGGGACCTTGATAAATTTACCCCATACTATTTTCTACCTTTAAGCTCATTTCTCATTCCTTCACTCTCCTATTGCATCTTCTTTCTCTTGCTTACCTACCTGGGTTAGCCAACCCTAAAGTTGATCCCCATCTTTCTTCAATTGAAGTCCTCTTTATACCCGGTCCACGTTGAAATACATAAATTTTGTCTGACCTATCGTATAGATGTGAGGAATTTTTCTCAATGATCATTCTCAGTTCACCGCTAGCCTTATTTAATTCCTCTCCTTTTTTCATTATTCCTCTCAAAACTGCCCTCCCTGACTCCCCCCCCCCCCCCCCCTATTCATTGTCTGGTTTTACACATTTATTTTTTTTACATCAGGTGGAAGATAACGCACCACCTTTTAATTTGTTTCTCTTTTTTATTTCTTTCCAATTGTTAAAAGCTGCTTCCATAATGCCAATCATGGATCAATGAAAAAGTACTATTCCAATAGAATCTAAACAACTCCTTGAAAAGTTCTTAATTTGCAGCTATCAACACTCAACATTATATTTATATAATGCAGTGAAATTCGTGTGTTTTGATCAAATGTTGCTATATATTCTTCAAATACATATGTGAATTCTTTCATTCCACTATTCTTCCATATATCGTTATATCTTCTTTTTCAGTTTTGATTGGGTAGAAGTGGATGCTACTGGTGCATTTTATGCAATAGATTTCTTATCACGATGCTATTTACATTCATTTGTGAATGATACAATCCGTGCAGCTTTTTTTAGTTAGTAGTATAAAGGCTGTGGTAACCGCAAGATAATTTTCCCATAATTTTTTGGGGCCAATCTTTTTGAATTTTCTTGTTGCATGGTCCTATACTTCCCTTGCCTATTATGTTAAATTGGAATGTAACATTGTTTTCTAGAGGAGGAAAAAAAAAAGTTTGCATATTCATGTGGAAGATTGTTTCTTAATTTTAAATCTAAAAGCTCGGTAGCTACCGTGTATTTCTGTTTCATATTCTTTCCACAAACTTCCTATTTTGTAGGCTGAACTTCAGAAGCTGGGGGAACAAAATGGTCCCATAGACACCAAGGTCAAAACTGATGGAATAGAATCACATGATAAGAAAAGTATTGATAACAGAAAACATCATTCCGTTTTCCTCCAGGTACCTTCCTGCTGGGATTTTAGTTTTTTTTTAGATTTCATGATAATGATTTACATTAAAAGAATTTGGAAGGCTTACATACATACCACTCAATTCCTATGTATTTACATATCTAACACCTAAACTTTTCAATTTTTACATACATGTCACCTTACCTATGCACAAAAAGGCGTATTTCCTTTTTAAAAGTTAACTTGCTGGAATTCTTTACATACATGTCACCTTACCTATGCATAAAAAGGCGTATTTCCTTTTTAGAAGTTAACTTGCTGGAATTATTTACATCCTAAATATTGATCTGATATGAAAGTTTTGGGTGTTATAAATGTAAAATTAAAGTTTAGGTGTTAGATATGTAAATACATAGGAATTAGGTGTATTTATGTAAATGCCCCGAAAAACTTGTAGTAGTATTTATCCATGTCAGTCTCCCCCATTCCTTCCATCCTGCTATTAATAGTTGATGTTTTAATTCGTCTCAGTTAATTGCTGACAATGCTTGCTGTAAGCCGGATGAGATTTGTGATTTTGAGCTGCAACTTTGTGATACTCAACCAAGTATTATAGGCGGTGCTCTGAAGGAATTCATATTCTCAGGAAGGCTTGACAATTTATGCATGTCGTTCTGTTCACTGAAGGTGACAAGTTTTTTTTTTTTGGTTGCTTCATTAATTGTTTTTTTTATTTTTTTGGTACTAAATATTTCTGGTAGTTAACCATGGTTGGTTAGAATTTTTTTTCCATGTCACTTGTTATTCTCAAGAGGGTAGTTCGGGATCACTTTTGATTTTTATTTTTTTAATTTTTTTTCATGTTTTTTCTTAAAATAAAACATGTTGATATGTTATAACGTATTTAATTATTTTTAAATCGTGCAAAATAATTTTTAGATGTTTTGTGTATTTTTAAAAACAAGCTAATTTATTTTTAAAAATAAAATATAAAAGCACGCATAAAATATATTAAATAAAGAGAAAAGTGTCAAAATAGTCTCAACTCTTTGCAGAGGGTCATTTTTGTCCAGAGTTTATAAAAGTTTCAATTTAGTCCCCTCATATGAGCTGAAATAATCACCTCGAAGTACTATTTCAGCCCCAATTTAAAGTGCCTGAGCTTTTATTGACTTTAGGACTAAAATGACCCCATGTAAACAGTCAGGGGACTATTTTGATGCTACTCACTAAACAATCAAGCTTTTTAAATATAAGCAAAAATAAAAACAAAAAGAAAAACATAGCCCCAAGTTTCTAGTGAGTGATCCTAGACATAAATTTGATAGAATTGACGTCTGTGAAGCTGCTTCACGGATTCATCATACTTGGCAGAGAAGTTATTGAGGAATGAAAATCTCTAGTAATTAAGGAAATGAATGAACTACGTAGCATTCAGTAGAAGGGTTGATATATTGATATTGTTGCCTACTCAGGTCAGATGATCCAACTATGTTAACATTAATGTTTTAACTAGGGTTACAGGTGTTGTGTGTGTGGTTGAGAGGGGGATGGGAATCCCTAAAGTTAACTGCTCAAACTGTCTTCTTTATTTTCTTTGTTATCTGTTTGCCTATTTCATTTCTTTCCATAGGCTATAGGCTATAGCTTATATCCGTTTTTGTCAATATAACTACATTATCTAATTACATTCTAGAGTTAGCTGCATCTTTTGTTTTATTTATTTTTTGCTATAAGAGCTACTTCTAACTAGATTTATAATTTTTTTTTTCTCACTTCAGGCTTTGGTAGACTCAACAAATTCTGAAAGTTCTCTGGATGAAGAAACTGGTGTGAGAATGGTGGCGCTGTTTGATCATGAGGAGGTTGGATCGAACTCAGCTCAGGGAGCTGGTTCTCCAGTGATGTTGGATGCCTTGACTAGAATAACAAATTCTTTCAACTCTTCAAACAAGGTAGAAGTCTATTTAAATTAGGAGAGTAGATGCTTTAGATTCAACCCATGTTAAGAAAGGCAGAGGTAAACCTAGGAAGACTTGGGCGTATTGTATAAAAAATAATCATAATTTATTAGAACAAAATGAAAATATGACACTAAATAGGACGAATGGAGAAAAATGATTCATGTAGCCAACCCCACTTAATAGGATTAAGGCTTTGTTGTTGTTGTTGTTGTTGATGGAATGGTATCCTCTATTAAGTTCTTATTGATTATGATTATCTTAAACCAAGATTAGTTTAGGTTCTTGAAGGTGATATTTCCATAAAATTTTTTTCATTTATTTAATTTTCTGATCGATTTTTGACTGACTGTTTTCCATATTTTATTGAGCCGTTGATCCGTTCATTTCAGTTAGTAGAGAAGGCCATCCAGCAAAGTTTTCTCGTCTCTGCAGACATGGCGCATGCCATACATCCCAACTATATGGTATTTAATCATATATTTCTAGTTGTTGATGCTATTTGGTGGGCTCACTTATTGGCATTATCAGGAGAAAAATGATTCATGTAGCCAACCCCACTTAATAGGATTAAGGCTTTGTTGTTGTTGTTATTGTTGATGTAATGGTATCCTCTATTAAGTTCTTATTGATTATAATTATCTTAAACCAAGATTAGTTTCGGTTCTTGAAGGTGATATTTCCATAAAATTTTTTTCATTTATTTAATTTTCTGATCGATTTTTGACTGACTGTTTTCCATACTTTATTGAGCCTTTGATCCGTTCATTTCAGTTAGTAGAGAAGGCCATCCAGCAAAGTTTTCTCGTCTCTGCAGACATGGCGCATGCCATACATCCCAACTATATGGTATTTAATCATATATTTCTAGTTGTTGATGCTATTTGGTGGGCTCACTTATTGGCATTATCATTAGGAAGATTTACATACATACCACTCAATTCCTATGTATTTTAATATCCATCCCTTATTATTATTATTATTATTATTTATATGCATGTTCCTTGGTTCTCTTCCAGGACAAACATGAGGATAATCATCAACCTAAGATGCATGGCGGTCTTGTGATAAAACACAATGCGAATCAGAGATATGCGACAAATGCCATCACATCATTTATATTTAGAGAGATTGCTGAAAGGCATGGCTTGCCCATTCAGGTAAAACAACAGTCTAAAATCAATGTGGTAAATTATATACTGTTTTTTCATTTTCAAGTTCTCTACAAGAATATGAATCAGTTGATAAACTGTTGTTGTTGATTTGCATGTACATACAAACCTCTCAATTCTCAAGTATTTGGATTTCTAGTTCTGAACTTCACTTTTTTACATTTAAACCATCTAAAATTTTCATATCTCATCCAAAATGCCACTATTTTAATATTGAAAAAGTGTAATACATCTTTTCATGCATAAAGTGATACATATGTGTAAAAATTGAAGTGCAGATGTTAGATATGTAAATACATAAGAATTGAGTGGTATGTATGTAAATCTTCCTAAAATATATGTATTCTTCTAGCTTCTTGCAGTTTTTTTTTTTCTTAGCAATTTTACCTAGGTACCACACAACTTGTATAGATTTCCATATCTAACACCTAAAATTTGATATTTACATTTACAATACCTTGGTGCTATAAATGTATGTATAAAAATATGTATTTGATTTTAAAAAGTTTATACAAGTGGTATTTCTGATGTGATGACAAAGATTTTAATGTTATGATAGAATATTCAAGTTTAGATGTTAAACATGTAAATACGTAATAATTGTGTGGTATTTATGTAAATAACCCTCTTTCTTTTACTCATGCACACACTCATTAATGTTAGGCCTCGAACTTAAGACCTTATAGTTGGAGATAAAGCACCCAACTACTAAGGATATGTTGGCTGTAAATGATAATGCTGCCTTGTAATGCAGGATTTCGTTGTACGGAACGACATGCCGTGCGGTTCGACTATCGGTCCCATACTCGCGAGTGGCCTTGGAATCCGGACAGTTGATGTCGGTGCACCTCAACTATCAATGCATAGCATTAGAGAGATGTGTGCGGTGGATGATGCCAAACACTCTTATGAGCATTTCAAGGCATTCTTCAATGAGTTCAATCAAATTGATTCTGGGATTAAAGTAGATTTCTAGCTTCTCCTTTTCCTTTATGGATAGGACACTAAGTTAAGGATATTTATAAAAAAGTTGAATTTTTGTTGAATGTACAATTAGTGAGAAGGTTTGCTAATGTTGAATAAGAAAGAGTTCTTGGCAATGCTCTGTTCTCTTGCAAAATTTAATTGCTTTTAATTGATGAAAATAGATATCTTTGGCCTTTGGATTGAAGGATTTTTTTGCATACATAACTTTTGTAAAGTTTCTGTTTGGATATAATTGTTTTTGGCATTTTTTAGATAAAGAGGAGCTTTTTTATGATCATGTAGTAGTAATGAGCAACCTGTTTGATTTCTCTTTTTTTGCATCGATAAAAATTTTGTATACATAAAAAATGCTAGCACGAATATCAAAGAGAATGAACAATTGAGATAAAAAAAGCTTCCCTTTGAGGTAAACAACCAACTGAAGATTCAATACCGAGCATGAAAAACTGCGTTTCCGAGCTCAAAATAGGTTAAAATTCTGGAGATGATTCTCCACTTGGTAGTGGTGAGATTAGCCGAGAGTGAGGTTGAGATCATTGTGCTAAAGTGACGTAGCGGACTCATGTCTATGAATTCTGATACAATCATGAGCTATATAAGATATAAAGGCAATCATTTTATTAGAATCTTGTAACATGATTACATGAACAACTAACTCTTGAGCACATTTCATAGCATCCTCAATTGAGCATATCGAATTTAATTGGAGCTAGTTTGTTAAATCCACATAGAATAAAAGGCCACCATCTTTTGACAACGAAATTTGCAGGGTTCTTGGCAATGCTCTGTTCTCTTGCAAAATTTAAGGGCTTTTAATTGATGAAAACAGATATCTTTGGCCTTTGGATTGAAGGATTTTTTGCATACATAACTTTTGTAAAGTTTCTGTCTGGTTATAATTGTTTTTGGCATTTTTTAGATTACTTTGTCTATTTTTCGTGAGGAGCTTTTTTATGATCATGTAGTAGTAATGAGCAACCTGTTTGATTTCTCTTTTTTTGTATTCAGAAATGCTAGCACGAATATCAAAGAAAACAAACAATTGAGATAAAAAAAACTTCTCTTTGAGGTAAACAACCAATTGAAGATTCAATACCAAACATGAAAAACTGCGTTTCTGAGTTCTGGATAGGTTAAAATTTTGGAGATGGCTCTCCGCTTGGTAGTGGTGAGATTAGCCGAGAGTAAGGTTGAGATCATTGTGCTAAAGTGACGTGCTATGTCAAAATGGACTCATGTCTATGAATTCTGATACAATCATGAGCTATATAAGATATAAAGGCAATCATTTTATTAGAATCTTGTAACATGATTACATGAACAACTAACTCTTGAGCACATTTCATAGCATCCTCAATTGAGCATATCGAATTTAATTGGAGCTAGTTTGTTAAATCCACATAAAATAAAAGGCCACCATCTTTTGACAACGCGCGCACGCACACACAAATATATATATCCATATATATCTTAAAAAATTTATTCAAAGCTTACCAAATGTCATCGTTCACAAAATGCTCGTAGTTTTTTAATTATATTTAGAAAACAATCTAAATCAAATTCATAAGTTTTGGTTCGGACATATCATATCATTCTCCATATGACCATTCATTTAACAAACAGTGCATATAAAAAAAAAAGGCCTGAATTCAAGAGAATACAGTATTATCAGGAAGAACATAGAAAGAATAAATAGAGGGATGATGAAAATGGCTGGTCTTTGGTTCAACAATAATATTTCCTTAATAATCTTATTTTTTCGAATCGCTAAGATAGGAGATTACACGCTCAGCTGCCTGCACACCCGAAGTTATGCATTTATCAACAGACAATCCATCTCTATTGTTACCTACAAAAATGATACCAACGTTGATGGCAAAATATGCATACAAATAATTATACTTTTTCTGACGCAGAGTTTATTATATAACTTCACAAAATCAAAAAAAAAAAATTGATTGTATGTGAAAGGCAAGTTCAGAAAAAAGATATATGGTTGTATTTAGAGCTTCAACATGTCAAATACTTACGGTTGTTATATTCATGCCAGCATTGAACTATAGAAGTGTTGACATGTTAAGATATGTTTTGCTTGCAGGTATTATTACCATTTTGATTGTACATATGATTATGGATTGTGTTTGATTACTTATTACAAGGATTATGATTACAAGCATATCGGAAGTATTGTGTTAGGTGGATTATTATATGAATGTTTGCAAGTACAGAAGATAGAGAATAATGAGGTTTCCCACTTCTGGTATTCAGACGCAGACAAAATCCAGGAATTGTTGGTATCAAGTGGGGACAAAACGTAGGGAACTGTTAGTATTAATGTGCATAGAAGATTAAAAAATATGTAAACGGCTACTCATAAGCATGTGGAAATAAATAGAAAAGATTAGGAATGAGTATATTTGATAGATAGTTAGAGTATCATTTAGCAAAGATGTTGGGAGCAGTAAATAGACTTAGATGAGTTGAATATGTATATAAAAGAAAGATGAGGCACCGGAGAAGATTAGTAGATAAAATTAATCTTGAAAGATTAGAGAAAACGGAAATAGACTTTCACTAAGGGGCAGTTTGAGTTTATTTTCATTTTTATTATTTATATTTGTTTTGTTTTGTTCTGTTTATATTTTTATTTGAAATAAAATACGTTTGGTATGTTAAAAACACTCAAAAAATGCACTAAAAATATGTTTTTAAAATAAAAATATAAATAAAAATAAAAACAAAAGCAAAAGGACAAAGATAAAAGTAGTAATATAGACTCAAGTTAAATATTTGGGATTGGGATAGAGCTAAAGATGATGATCTGCATCAACATGAGCGAGAACCTAAAAGGTGTTTCAATGGACAATTAGTCTGAATAAATTAAAATCTTAGCCTCTTTAGAATCCAGTGAGAGAAAATGACGGGAAAACCAACAATTTTCATCATATTTTAAATAACAAGTAAAAATTCAATAGTCCTTGTAAGCAGCACGATATGCATCTCAGCAGTGTACTATGAAAAGCTCGATGATGAATATTTTGTTAAGAGAAAAACATAACAGATTATTACGTGAATGCAAGCATCACAGTTTCAGAAACGGGAAAGACTACAACTTGCCTGCATAAAAGAATCCTGGAAGATTTTTCTCCATCTTTTCAATGGCTTCTATAACTAAGTCATAATCTAGACCGTACAAGGGAAAAGCTTTCTTCCAATAGATATGCCTGCAATTTGGTAAGATAGTAATCTCATCAAACAAGCAATTAGCAAAGTGCCGAGTATTTAAATTATAATACCAGAGTCCATAAATGTGTCAAATTAATTCCCGGACTATTTTAATATGAGTTGAAATAGAATGAAATTTTTAAAACTGATTTATTAAAAAAATACCATTCTAACCAATCATCATTTAAAAAAAAAAAAAAACTTAAAATCGACACAACATGCAGGTAAATTGTCAATTTTTACCTGCCAATTTTGACTAGTCTTCAGACAAAATCGATAATTTACATGTCAATTTGAGCTCATTATTGCTTCAATTATGAGGACGTTGGCTGGTTGCGGTTGTGGGGTAACAAAACATAGTTCCTTAAATGCATTTCACGTGGTTTCAGTCTTCATTTTCTCCTTAAAAAGGTCCCGAGATGGGGAGAAAATATTGCGTCCGGAATTCGAACGCAAGCAACGTCCGGATAATGGACACGATACACCCATTTTTTTTTCCTTTGGGTGTACTGCGTCCGTTGTTCGGACTGCTTGCGTCTTGATTCTGGATGCAATATTTTCTCCGAGATGGGAGGGGAAATTTTTAGCCACAATGAATTTGATTGGTTTCTTTGTTTTCCGTGCCAGGATCTCGAGTAATATTCTAAGAACAAGGTATATTTTCTACTTTTACTACATTTTTTTTTCCTGCGCTTCTTTTTCCCGTTTGTAATAATAATAGTAATAGTAAATAATAAAGCAATTATAATATAGATAAATTAAAAAAAACAAAGAATTCAAAGTAGTAACAATAACACTACAGAAAAATTGTTAATTAGTGTTTGAATTAGCGTCAGAAATTTTTCTGACGCAAAATTAGAGATTGATTAGTGTCCGTTAGCATCGCCCCGAGCTCCCAAAATCAGAGAAACGGCGCTAGCGAGTTGTGTCAAGCAAAGATCGCTAATCCGACGCTATAGCGTTAGATTTGCGTCGGCTATGACCGATGCTAAACTCACTTAATAGCGTCGGCCATAGATGACGCTAAATCCGAAGCTAGAGCCCTAAAATATGACTCCCGCAAATCGCAGCTCTATTTTGCGCGCTCTTTCTCCTTCGGCTTCGCTCGTGGCCTCCATTGTCTCCTAAGCTTCTCCGGCGTATCCAGCTCCGTTTCACCGCTCCAACCCTGTATAAGGTGAAAAATCTTCTTACATGTCTCTAAGCTTTGGCTAAAATAAGTTTTCATCTCTTTTTTTTCCTTGCATATGTATTAGATTCGAAAATACATAGGTTTTGCCAAGTTTTTTTCGTATTCCATTGTTAGGTATGCAATGCATATGAATTTTATGATTTTCCCTAAGTTTAGGTGTAAGATATGTAAATGCATAACAAATTTATACCATGCAATAAAATTTTGGTGTGACATATGTAAATGTATAAGAAAATTGTGTTATGTATGTAAATATGAAATTTAGGTGTGGGATATGTGAATGCATAAGAAATTTGTGCTATCGATGTAAATATGAAAAGTCAGTTGTGAGATTTGTAAATACATAAGAAATTTGTGCTATGTGTGTAAATATAAAATTTATGCATGAAATATGTAAATGCATAAGAAATTTATATTATATATGTAAATATGAATTTTAGGTGTGAGATATGCAAACAAAAAAGAAATTTTGTGCTTTTATGTAAATATTAAAATATAGGAGTGAGATATGTGAATATATTAGAAATTTGTGCTATGTATGTAAATATGAAAAATTTGGTGCGAGATATGTAAATATATAAGAAATTTATGTTATGTATGTAAATATGAAAATTTAGTTGTGACATATATATGAAAATACATAAGAAATTTGTGTTTATGGAAATACACAAGATATTTGTGTTATGTATGTAAATATATTTAGGTGTGAGATATGTAAATGCATAAGAAATTTGTGATATTGTAAGTTTAGGGTGGAGTTAGATTAGTGTTGATTTTCTCTGGAATTGTGGGCTATGGGTTTTGGGTATGATGTGTAAGTGGCCTAAGGTTTTAAGTAGAATGTGTAATTTGTAAGTTTACTAATTTATAGAGCTATATTTATGATACAGATTGATATTTGAAGCTTTAGATCATGGATGCATAACAGATTATATCCAGGAAGAAAAGTATTAACTTACGAGTTTATTGTTGGTGTTAAAGAGTTCGTGCATGTGGCATCGCAGCTGCCTGTTTAACTCTCAAAAAATAGGTTTTGAAGCCCCTGTGCGAAACACAATAATCAAACATATCTAACACCCGATGAAGTGAAGTTGGATTTATCCCGTAGGAGATTTAAACCCGATTATTGGTAATTGACTTCACATAATGAATTTGAACCAGATGTTCAGTACAGTCATGCAGGAGACTCATCAAGTTATGCCCCACCAACTGTTCACGATTCTGACATGTACGAGCAAATGATTGATGATGCGATTAAGACTCATTTTGTTGGGAATGTGACATGAACCCAACAGTGAAGCACAATAATTTTATGAACTATTAAATGCTGCCTAACAACCATTTTGAGAAGGAAGCACTTCTCACACAAAGTTAACAGTTGCCCTAAGAATGTTGAGTATCATTTGTTGGGAATGTGACATGAACCCAACAGTGAAGCGCAATAATTTTATGAACTATTAAATGCTGCCCAACAACCATTTTGAGAAGGAAGCACTTCTCACACGAAGTTAACAGTTGCCCTAAGAATGTTGAGTATCAAATTCAATTTTAACATGCCTAGGGAATGCTTCAATTAGGTAGCAACACTATTAACGAAAACAAACCCTGTAGGTAATTTAGTTCCAAAAGATTGTACAAAAATAAAAAGTTTGTGGCGAAGTTGGGACTACTATCTGAAAAGATAGATTGCTACTTTAACGGTTGTATATTATATTACATGAAGTACGCATAAGAGACAATGAAGATTTTGCAGTGCTGATAAGTTAAAACAAAGAGGAAGAAATAGTATAAACTAGAAGAATATTCCTTACAAACGTGTATTTTATTTTTCTCTCATTCTACGGCTCCAACGACTGTTTGCTTCTATGCGCACAACTTTCCACATGATATGGCATACTGGATCTGTTAATGCTATTACAATGACTCATCCCTCAGCTAGTGAGCTTCGAAACACTTCGCCCACAGTTATCCGGATTTTGCAGCAAAACCACGCAACATCGGGTTTGGCTTATGTGTAGATGGGTTCACATCGTACAGTCATGCGACAACACCCTATTCTTGTTGGTTGTTTATTATCACGCCATATAATTTGCCCCCTTATATGTGTATGACTGTGTCATTCTTATTTCTAACATTGAACATACCGGGTCAATATAATTCAAAGAGTAAAATTGATGTGTACTTACATCCTCTTATAGATGAGCTACATGTATTGTGAGAAACCAGAGTATTGACTAATGATATTGTAATAAAACAAATTTTGACCTGAGAGCTACTCTTATGTGGACGATTAGTGATTGCCCTACTTTTGGGATGTTATCTGGTTGAAGCACAGCTAGGAAATTGACATGTCTCTACTGCATGGACATGTCTAAAGCATTCACTTTGAAACATGAAAGAAAAAAATTCTGGTTTAATTGTCACTGAAAGTTCTTAGCACGTGATGACCAATTCCGGAGGAATAAAGATACATTTTTCAGAAATATAGTTGAAAGATCAAGTCCACCCCCAAGGAATAGTGGAAGTGATATATTGCAGATGATTAGTGGAGTTCCGAAGATTAATGAGAGGTCAAATACAGCCTCAAGTCCTCTTTCATATTATAGCTTTGCACATAATTGGATGAAACAGAGTATTTTTTGGGATCTTACATACTGGAAAACCAATCTAATTAGACATAATCTGAATATTATGCATAATGAAATTTTTTTTTGTGATAATATATTAAACACTGTTCTTGATATCAAGGGAAAAATAAAGAACAACGTCAAAGCATGAATGAATTTAAAAGTATTGCAAGAGAAGGGGGTTAGAATTGTAAGAGATAAATGCAGGTAAAGTAATAAAGCCCAAAGCTACATATTGTCTAACATTGGATCAAAGACAAATAATATTTGAGTGGTTGCATTCCTTGAAATTTCAAGTGGTTGTGCCTAACATTGGCCGATGTGTTGATTTGGGCACGAGGAAAATATTTGGCATGAAAAGTCACGTTTGTCATAGTTTCATGCAGTACTTATTACCTATTTCATTCAATGATTTGCCAAAGCCAATACTCGATCTGTTAATCGAAATTAGTACAATCTTCAGAGAGTTGTGTGCAGACACTTTGAATGTACATTCTCTACGAAGTCTGACGCAACTATTACATTATTGATGTGCAAGCTGGAGCAGATATTTCCTCCCAATTTTTTTGAATCTATGGAGCATCTGCCCATTCATTTGTAACATGAGGCTATACTGGGGGATCGGTATAGTACAGATGGATGTATTCCTCTGAGAGGTATGCCCTTTATTTTATACTAAAATATTATCTTAATTTTTTTAAATTGAATAAACCGTGTAGATTTCCGAATAAAATAAAAGAGCCTGTTAAGAATAAAACACATCCCGAGGGTTCAATATGTGAGGCATACCTAATACATGAAACAATTACTTTTGTTCTTATTACTTTAATTAAAGGCAACATACGCATAAAACTGTTGGCATGGTACGCGTTATCTAAATGATGGAGAGCTTCAAGCAACTACTTTGTATGTTTTACTGAACTGCGACAAAATACAACCATTTATATAGTAAGAAAAATATAATAAAATATTTTAACAGAATGCTTTACCAATTAATTCAGACATACATATAACAATGATGTTTGCAGGTTATTTACGGAGAGCTTGAAAGTATAGGATGACTCTCTTGTAAGCAAGAAAATTGAGAAAGAATTTTCAAAATGATTCAAATTACACGTACGTTGAAGTAACTTTTAAATTCACTAATGTGTTGTGTAAATCTACTATACAAAGTTAAATT